AAGGATAAGAATTTAAGCATTTTCTAAATCAAGCTAAAAGGTTTCTTTGTTTTGATCTTAAGAAACAAACAAACAAACCAAACCTTCCTTTTACTCTAAGGTACTGCTATGTTTCAAAATCCTGAACAACAGAGGGAAAGAAGAAAAAAAAACCCCAACACTCCTCTTCATATAACAGAAGTCAATTAAAACAGGCATCCTTTTTCAAAGCAGGCATTTCTTTGCTGTGACTATACTGTGACTCTTGGCTAAAACATTGCAGATGTTTTTATAAGCCTCAAAACACATCAGAAAGTAATGCTGACCCATGTTTTCCTCACAAAATCTATAATTTCCCTTACAAAACAACTTTGCCATCAAGCATCTCCATTTTTGATTCTCCAAACCTACTACCTTTAAAAAGGATTACATTTCATGATGTACCAAATGGCTAGCCACAAAAATCAGTTTCATCTGAAATGTTTAGTGATGATATGGTCCCCTTCACTCCACTCCTGCAAAAGTCAGTAAGCACTTTTGGACCTCTAAGCCTAACCTAATATTCAAACACAAGACAAATTAAAACCAAACAACATAAACCCCAAATAAACGCTAAGATAAAGCCCCCACACCAATATTTTAAAATTGTTGAATTAAAACATTTAAAATAAAAAGCATTATCTTAAGATTGTCTTGATAAGGTTGCACAAAGGAGACTATCTTCAGTGGCAAATTCAGGCCTGTTAGCTATAAAGGCAATTAATTCATGAAAGCTTTGGAGGATATTGAAATCATTACATAGTAACACACTTAAAAATATAGTCACCAAGTGTTTGAGCTGAAATAAAAACAATTTACTTCAGTTAGATTTACCCTGAAACAATGTTATAGTTGAGAGCTGGGTGATCTTTTGATACAGGAGGAACAAGTGACTCTGGCTGCCATTCTTCAATCAATTCTTCTTTTTCCTGAAGAGAAAAAAAAATATTGCTCAAAAAAATCCATTAGAAGAAAAAAATATATATATTCTAATCAATAGCTGCTAATAGATATATGAGAAACTATGCACACCAGTATATGACACCTTTCTGAGACATTTAAGATTGGTATTATATCAGCATGTTCAGCTGAGTCACTCTGCATTCTTCAAAGGAAATGAGATGTAAACAAAGGCAGCCCAACTATCTTTGCATTAAAGATTTTATGGTATGATAATCAAAAGAAGAGATACTAATTCAGTGTCCCTGCCAACTTTTAACCAGTACTATTTCATTCAATCTACTATGAAAATCCTCCTCTACAGTATATGTGAGCAATTGAATACAAATTGAATACTAATTGAATACAAACTGCCTCACTTCATATTCTAAAATGCTCAACAGTGCTATTGAAACATCTATGGTACTAAAATGCTAAGCAAAATAACACACATACAGGTAGGACATGGTGGAGAATGTAGACTACAAAATATTCAGAGAACAGCACAATTACTAATCCACATATCAAACTTCATCTTCAACATAATTCAGCAAATACCCCCATATATTCTCATGTACAGCTGCCCAGTAGTATCTTATTTATATCTTTCCACAACAGAGTTCAAAAAGACTTCTGAAAAATCAGAAGAGGATGTCACTATGCATCCTCAAACAGCCTTCAATCTACTCTATAGTAAGCATCCACATGCCTCAGAACCCAGATATACCGCGTAGCTCCCATCAACAGTTGTGTGTTCATTTTAGAGCAGTTTTTTTTCTTTTTGCATTAGAAAAAAAATGTAAGAGCTGTGAGAAGCTTTGATTCATTCTTTGAAATGTGTGTAGCACACAAACTAACAGCATAGGTAACAAGATGTGCCAATATCCCGATTCTCCCTCATATAAAACATAAAATACAATACACAGGAGAAGGTTAAGCTTGATTCATTGATATACTTGATTCATTTAGTTCTGCTGAGTTCACTGTATGATGATACTTTACAGTTTGCTCTTTTATTGTGTGTTTTTTTATTATTATTTATTTATTTTTAAAGACCAAATAACACTGAGTAAAAGTACTTCGGTGCACACACATCCAAGACAAATTATAGAATCATAGAATCATTTTGGTTGGAAAAGACCTTTAAAATGATCAAGTCCAACCATGCCTGTTAAACCCTGTCCCTAAGCACCTCATCTACACATTTCTTGAACACTTTTCTCCAGACTAAATAACCTCATCTCCCTCAGCCGCTCCTCATAAGGTCTGTGCTCCAGCCCCATCACCAGCTTCATTGCCCTCCTTTGGACACTCTCCAGCACCTCCATGTCTTTCTTGCAGTGAGGGGCCCAAAACTGAACACAGTATTCGAGGTGCAACCTCACCAGGGCTGAGTACAGGGGGACGATCACTTTCCTGGTCCTGCTGGCTACGCTGTTCCTGACACCAGCCAGGAGGCCGTTGGCCTTCTTGGCCACCTGGGCACACTGCTGGCTCATGTTCAGCTGGCTGTCGACCAGCACTCCCAGATCCTTTTATGCCTTTGCTGAAAGGTTGCTTTGCTGACTCTGGTTTTCAAACAAGGCAATAATTATTTTCCTGAAGACAGCTCTTAGGTTAACACAAATGTTTGAAACAGTGTAATACATATATCTGTGTCAATATGCACACATGAATTTATTTTTATTTGCAGCCATTGCACTCCTCAAAACATAGGTCTGACATTTACAGAATCATTGCATAATATATCAACATACCATAAACTGGCACGAACAATGAACACACTAGTTAGAAATTTAAATATTAATACAGCTTGAAAGAGAGAAAAGAACTTTTACCTATGTAAGGAGCCTTGTCTCAAAACAGCTGAAAACCTTCATAAGAACAGCCTAACTGTTCTTCTCTGCAGAACATCCAATGTCTGAACATTATGTGTGCAAGGTCTCATGCACTCATGACCTACAACATTTCTAGGCTATTTATTAAACATTTTTCTCTGACAGGAACTCACCAATACCCTAATATTGCTGTAGTATAACTTCTCTCATACTATTGCCATAATGGAAATTCTGAAACCAATGAAAATAACGATTCCTCCCATACAGATGTAAGATGCTGCTCCTACAATTTTTGCCAAGAAGCTCATTATTATTTATTTTGGAGTAAAAGTCACGTCTGGCAGCCGCCTTCTTTCATACAAATGCTTAGTGGCTGGGAGTGTACATTGCATCATTCTGCAACAAGCCACCGCCTGTAACTCAATCCACTGTTTACTCACACTTTGCTACTTTTACAGAGATTCCATTTTGGATGAGAAGTCCACAAGAATTTATAAGTTGCATTCTGTCTGGCTATGGATTTACTATTACCTCCTGAAATCCTAAGCTATCAAAGTCTGACAGTCACAGAGAAGTACTCCATCTTTCTAGTTAATGATTTGGGAAATGTCGTTATTAAAAAATGACAGTCAACCAGTCTGAAAGTTGATTCCTGCTTGGAATTGATTTGGAAGCACTCTTGCTACACATTTGACTAAACCTAGAATCTACCTTTAAGGTGCGTTTCTTCACTATTTCAGAAGTATGACTCCTCAGTTTACTAGGTTGCACAAGATATCATCTACCTCCGCTTCCTCAGGACAGGCCAGTCCTAACAGATCATGTTTCATGGCTATGCAATAGTGCTATTCTTTGGTAATTTTGATTATATGGATCCAGCTCTGCTCAGCCCCACAATAATTCACAGAGGAACTCCATGTATCGTTACATGGTTGGCTGACACAAAGGTAGTCAGAACTCCACTAAGATCTGGCCCATCTCCAGTGCCTGCATCCAAAACAACCTAGTCATTTTTGCAGGTGTGGTAGAGATTGGACACCACAGCATGAATCAAACTAAAACAAGTTAGAGGACAGATCAATGCTCTCCTTGCTAAGCAGCTGACGTTACAACATGCAGCTCAACATGCACATATAAGCCTCTGTATAGGATCCCATATTATATAAAATAGACTAGTATCAACAATCAAGGAATTTTTAGTGAAAAATAAGTGGCTTCCACAGCCAAAATTAAAAAGCTTTTTTTTTTTTTTTTTTTTTAAATCTCTTTCCTATAATTAAGGTAAGGGAACAAATCGCTCCATAATTCTGATGTATCATATATTAGACTCCTCATTTATTTCTTCAATTCTAGTAAACTTAGTCACACATTCTCTTCACTGCTATTTACGCTTACTTTCAATAAACAATGGTAGTAAACATTTCCTACCAAATACTGTTCTTCCTATCGAAAACATTACCACCTCACAGCTCTGAAGGTGGAAGCAAAGTAAACTAGACCAGCTTAAATCTAGCTTCATCAATTGTCAGCTAACTTATGCCATCAGACTAAAGAACATTCACTCTATCAAGACACAGATAACAAAAAGCTAGAGGTGATAACATTTTCAGCATCTTAAGTCAAATCATTTGCTGTAATGCATCTCTTTGCATACCACATTTATTTTTCTGTGCCTTGCAACTGTGAGCTAATATTCTATTCAGTATCTATTAACAGAGTTTTGATCACTTTGGTTTCTTGCTAGCATCCATATTCCTTTCCAATTCTCTGGCCCAAAAAAGGTTGCATATATCTCATCAGAATAGGATAGCAAAAATACATCTGCATGCCTCTATTCCTCAGAAAAAAACACTATCACTGTCCTGACAACCGACTTCATTCTTACTGTCCTGTTTCTGAAGGACAGTTATTAAATATGAACCATTTCCAAATGTTTAATTCCTTTCTCCCCCAATTCTGAGCCCCTGCTCCCATTAATCTGTAACAGACAAGCTGCCTTTGCAATCTCCCTTGAGAGAAAATTAATGGCTTCTTATTCATCTCAGTATTTTCACATTAAGACAGTATGTCCAACCATACTCCAAATATTTCCATTGCACCCTCTGACATTACACAGCATGCTGAATCACAGATCGTGCCTCAGGCAAACTAATCCTGGGAAATCTCCAGAATCTGCCAGTCTCGAGATAGCAATCATGGATAAATTTCAGTCTTCATGCACTATTACATCCTTGAGACAACTGTATTGCAAAAGAAACACCCCCCTCCCCAACTAAACTACAAAACTCTCTGGAATTCACTTAACATTTTAAATTCTGAGTTATTATTCACAGATATTACATGCATACGCTGATTATTGCACTACCATTCAGAGGGACCTGGACAGGTTGGAGAGTTGGGCAGAGGAACCTCATGAGGTTCAACAAGGACAAGTGCAGGGTCCTGCACCTGGGGAGGAAGAACCCCAGGCACCAGGACAGAAAGCAGCT